CCAATTCCATTTAAAATGTTATGCACCCCTATAAAGTTGCCTCTGAGATATTTCTCAAGACTGAAGAGGCGAACACGTCCAACTGTTGCTCATAGCTCATTCCTCCAACACTGCCGACCATTCGCATCGCTCTTCTCTATTCTGCCTCGAGGCCTTGGGCGGACCTTCTATGTTGTGGTAACTAGACCTGTAAGCAGTGCTCTAGGTGCAGTCTGACCAGAGCACTATAAAGCTTCATGATGTCTGGGGATATGAACTCAAAAGATTTAACAATATAGCCCAACATCCAGTTTGCTTGGTTTATTACTGTCTCACACTGTTTTGACATAGTGAATGACAAGTCAACTAACACCCCTAGATCTCTTTCAGCTTGTCCCGTGGTAAGTTCTGTCCCATCCACGTGAGTAATGTGCGTTTCCTATTCTTACTTCCTGTGGTACCTCACATGTATCTGTATTAAATGTCACTTAACAGTCATTAGACCATGTGTATATCCAATCAAGCTCTTTGTAGTATTTTGTTGCCTTCTCTAATTCTAGTCCCCAACAACCTGAAAATGTAACTACCTTACACTGGGTCTGTAAATCCAGATCATCAAAATATGCAAATAACGACAGATCCCTCTAGAACTCCATTTAATACCTACACCGATTTTGACCTAGTTCCCCTAAAAAAAACTGCTTTCTTCCTTCCAGTCAAATCTGTATCCACATCCATGTCTTGCCCTTGATATCAGTGACCACAGTTTGCGATGGAGTCTTTCATGTGGTACTTTGATAAATGCCTTTTGGAAGTCTATATATACTACATCATATGGCTTCCCACAGTCAATTTGAGCTGTCACTTCCTCAAAAAAGTCAGTTTCATCAGGCAAGAGTTACCCTTTCTGAACCCAAGTTGGCTTTTATTTATTAGATTTTTATAAAAGCTTTCTTCTAGTTCCTTTCTGATGATTGATTTCATAATTTTCCAATTATTCAAATCAGGCTAATGGGTCTGTAATTTTCATGTTTGGTTCTGTCATCTTTCTTGAAGACCAGAAGTTTAAAATATATACTATAAAGTGAATTGACTATTTCTGTGGGTGAAACGAAGCAGCCAATTGCACACAGCTGTGTCCCACAAACAGTCATGGATTGAGTGACCAAATTATTATTGTCTTTTTTCTTGAGGGATTATTATCAGGCGCGTGGAGTGAGGAAACTTGCCCAAGGTTTGCCCTGCGGGGAATCGAACCCAGGTCTCTCGTTTGTGAGTCAAGTGCTCTAACCACTGAGCTACAGTACTCCCTAGATCTAGTGTACTACCACATCAACAAATTGTCTCAAAGCACTTCACGAAAGCTTACTGCAAACAATAAATTACATTTGTATAGCGCCTTTCATGCCAGGAGGATGTCCCAAGTAAAGTGCAATGACTATTATAGGACAGCAGCCACGTCGCACAAGCTGTAATGAAGTGAATGACCAAATTTATCTGGAAACCTATGCCTATAGCACCTGAAGAATCTCCCTAGTCTCCCTCATGCCATGAATCTTTATCGTCCACCTGAACATTAGGGACATAAGCATTTCATCCGTAGAACAGCACCTCCAACAGCACTCCCCAAGCACCATATTGGCGTGTCAACCTAAACACCTGTGCACACAAGATGCAGGGGACTGGAGATTACCTGATAACTATTTTAGTATATTGCCTACCCCACAAAACAAATTTCCTGCTACACAGCAGAGTAGGAGATTTCCCCAAAATGACTGAACTAGGTCATATCTCTAATCAAGCTTATCATACAAAATTGTTTTGACAGTTTAGCTCACCCAACACCATTACAAATACCCCGCAGCAAAGTATTCATTGTTTTTCTAGTTTTAATCCATTTAGTTTCACCAACTTTTCACCCACAAAATAGTCAATTCACTTTACAGTATATTCTGTGAGGCACTTTGAGAAGTCTCAACATAAGGCACTATATCAAATGCAAGGATTATTATTATAACTACAGTACCTGTGGTAAATAGCAGTAATCATAGACAAATGAAAAACATACCACGCTGTTCACAATAGATTAAACCCAGCAAAAACCTGCAAAATTCTAATGGTGTAACATTAATTTCATTTAAATTTACTGAGCAATCCATTCTCCTAATCCAACATTATTGAATAGCATTTGCTGAGCTACAGTACTAATAGTTCAGTGGTTTCACCTATGAAGGATCAACACCACCAAGTTAAATCTACAGTACTGGTGACCATTCAGGTTTGCTATTCCAATAGAACCATCATTTACAGGAATCTTTGCACTCGGCAATGTCCGAGAGGTTACTATAATCATTACTCCATTTGTGAATGGACGACTGAAGCTTAAAGCTATTTTGAGCATGACCAACAGTAAGTTCAAGCTACTAGGACTGAACAGTCTACTTTAATTGCAAAAGAGTGAAAATGAGCAGAGTATGTGTGCATACACACACCCCCCAAAAAACATTAAAAATCATCAAGTACTGCCAGGTTCCTCTTACTAATTTTCTTACTCCACACACCTGTTTACCAAGCAGTAAGTAGAAACCTGGTTGTTAGACGATTGGCGGATCGCTTTTCCGATAATAATCCATCAAAAAAAATAATTTGGTCACTCAATCCACAACTGTTTGTGGGACACTGCTGTGTACAATTAGTTGCCGTGTTTCGCCCACAAATATAGTGAATTTACAGTATAATCAATGAAGCACTTTGAGACGTCTAGAAGACATGATAAGGCACTATACCGCAAGTATTGGATTATTATTATTACTAAAAGAAAGAATGGAGCAGTCCCAATTTAGAGCAAATACTCAGATTACCAAGTGTAATGTAAGTAAACTGGACAATGCCCAAGTCAACCTTAATTGTACAGTTGCAGTAAATACCAAAACAACTGAAGGCATTTTATGCATTATTCATAACAAGACTGTACAATTACTTAATGTGAAAGTTATGATAAGAGTACAGTAGCCTTTTAATGCATAATACTTGCACTGTGCGGTTCTCAATGTAAGAAGTCAGAAGATTCCAGAACTGCCAGACTTTTTTTTATTGATTATAGAAAAGCTGATCTCAAACTGAAAAATCATTACACATGTCCCCAAAAAATGTAAACCTTTCTCTGATCCACAGGCAAAAAAAACCTACTCCCATCAGCATAATAAACACCCAAACAAGATAGTTCCTTTTTGGATAAGTCTAAATATCAAACATAGAAAAGATTCTGTGGATTTTTCTCTTTCCCTAATGTGTAAGACATTTAGAAATTCAAAGGCTTGCGAACAGAAAATCCACCGTAAAACCCACAGAAGAAGCTATAATTGGATGTGGTTAAAGAACAGAATTTATGTATCCAACTATTAAATCCAACATGCCAGATGTTTTTACTTCTCCCCTCTCTCTTGCTATATTTTAGTACACAGACATACCATAAATAAACTCAACTGAAGATTCTATTATTCTTTTAGGTCAAGAGACCAGTCGGTCACCAGTGTTATTTCCCATGGGTACTACTTTTACATTAAAGATTGCAAAGGGCCTGGAACACATGAGGTGGATTCTACTCATTCAGATTACCTTAACACTAAAAACAGACTTACAGTAGTTGTTATAACTAAAAAATTATATTAAAGATGAAATCAACTGGCTGCAAAATATTATTTATTTCAGGCAGGAAATTGTTAATTTTCCTGTAAACCTATTTCTGTTACACACACAAAACCACTCTGTAATACTCTAACCTTGTGCATCTATGGAATCTCCCTAGAAAGAAAAATCTACAGAAGTATTGCCTACTCAGTAACCAATCCAGATCAGTTTTGCAATACAAGTTCAGTTAAGGGTTACCAGCTTTGTGTGGGCTGATCTAAACTGAAACCCTTAGGTATTTAGAAGATATGAATTACAGAAACCCCCACCTTCTCAAATTTGACTTCATACTCAACACTTCCAAAAATAATATATTTATACAGATTTTCTGAGTTGAATTTTGCTTATTTTAACAATGTATAGTTTTGAATTTTTCCTCAGCCCCAAGAAATCACATATCCTGGAATGCAAATCAGTTCAGATATAATTGAATAGCTCTCTATCAGAATTGGCAGCTGCTTTACATACTGGTGAACACCTGTTGGTATTACTACAGTAAAACTCCTCTTTCAATCCCAACCCCCAGGAAAAATGCACTCAGTGTTAAGGTTTCAGTTTCATGCTCTTCGTGGCTGCATGTGAATGCATTCACTCTACACTATGAATCCCATATGGGTTTCATTGCCCACCACATATCATATATAAAAAACTGCAAGGTATCTACCTGCTATCTTAACATTTGGTGATCAGGGAATACTAGAATTCAACAAACGAGAATTCAACCCAGCTCTCCCTGCACAATCATCTACAAAAAAGCCAAGATCCTGCAGAGAGAATGGATGCACTGGATGTTTTTGTCAGAAATCACAAGAAATACTGCAGTATCCCAATTTTGATATATTTTTTTAAAAAAGGAAAGGGATGATCCACTCGCCTGCAGAATGAAATAAAGCATTAATACACAAAGGATATCAAATAGAGAAAATGGAGTGGGGTGGGGGAGATAAAGAGCTCTGCTTTCATTGATAAACATATCATTTTAATGCTTATGGGAAGGAGGAAAAGGCTTTGTGATAACAAAGTACAGACTCATCGTTAAAAATTCATATTTTTTCCATTTAACTTTTTTTAAAAGGGAAAAAAAGGCGGCGGTGGGTATACAATCCACCGTAAACAAATGTCATTTATAAATAGCTGAACCCCCCCCCACCGACCCACACACGCATGCGCACACTGCTGAACTCTACCATTCAATGAGCCCATTAACGACAAGTGCAAAGTTAAAACTGCATTTCAATTCCTGCTGCATCGATTTTTGCAATGAAACTATTTATTTACAAAAAAAGAGGTAGAAAGGGAAAAAGAGGGAGAAACATTTAATAACAATCAACCTCCTTTCTCTCTCTGTCCAGCCATCCCCACATCCTTTTGTAAAGGGGGAAAATAAACACAACAGCTCACACCGCTTACTTCCCACCGTCTTTTCCAGCTGAATTCCCATCCGTCTCAGAGCCGCTGGACTGACAAGGAGACGGCCCGTGTGTGCGCCTCAATGCCTCCAGTCCCCAACTAACAGACTGTAACTAGCAACACTGCAAATAACCTGACTGGCCCGCTAACCCCGCCCCACTCCGCGCCCCTCATTGGCCACTCCGCCCAACAGCTGGCAGCACCCGGGCTCCCTATTGGCCGAAGGAGCAGTCAATCACGCCCCTATCCGTTCTCGTCCTCCCGGCTGAAATAATCACGTTAGGCTGCGTCGCGGCAACACAGTGAGGTAAACGTGAAGAGCCAGTGCGCAGGTGCAGCGAGCCGGGCCACCGGCCGGCACCGGCTCCAGCCCCGCGGGGCAGGCCGGGAGTTGTAGTCTCCGTCTCCTCTACCCCACGCAGGCGCGGAGCGAAGGAACTACAACGCCCACAAGGCCGTGCGCTCCGGCTCTCCGCCCGTCTCCGCTCCTCCACAGGCCGTACGAGATGAGCCCCGTCCGCACACACCGCTCTCCCTCTCTCTCCAGCAGCCCCCATCTCCCCGACCATCAGCACCAGCCAACCGCACAGCCCGCCTCACACCAGCTCTCATTCACACCCCCCCCCCCACACACACACACACACAGCCAAAGACACACAAAACGATACCATTAAACTCCACAAAGTGAGTCAGTCGACAAAGATAACAACATTTCTTTCTCTCGTATTATTTTTGTTTTTCTCTTATCATTCTTTCTCTTCCCCCTCTCATATTATTTTCTTCCTCTCGTTTCTCTCCCCCTCTTCTCAGATTATTGTTTTTGTCCCCTTCTCTCTCTATCTCTCTCATATCATTTCGTTTTTCTCTTCACCCATTTTTTTCTCTCTCTCTCTCACATTATTTTGTTTCTCTGTTCCACTTGTTTCCCTCTCTCTTTTATCTCGTTATATTTTGTTTCTCTTCTCCCACCTTTCTCTCTCGCACACCACACGTTATTTTCTCTCCCCATCTCGTTTCTTCCCCTTTTTCTCTCTCTCTCATGTTATTTTGTTTTTCTCTTCTTCCCACTTCTCTCCCATATTAATTTGACTCTCTCTCTCTCTTTCTTTCTCGTCTTCCTTTCAGCCCTTCTCTTTTAGGATAACTACATTAACACACGCACAGGTCAAGGCGGCAGCACCCACCACAAACACTAATCCCCTCCGTCCGTCTCCCGACCTCCAGGAGAACTGAGTCCGGCGGCGCCGCGCAGCCGCTTTTATAACCTCAGCCACTACCATTCAGCCAGAGCCGAGGGGTGCAACGGCGTAAGGAGACCGCGAGTTCACGCGCCGAGAAACCACAGCGAAAAACGAAACACCGAACAACACTCGGATTCGTGCACTTTGTTTACCTTTTTTTACTTTAAAAAAAGGGTAGAGTGTGTTTTTGAGCGGGGCCGGTTTGCCTTGCGGCCAGGCTGACACCCCTCTGCCTCTGCCCCCGGGTGGAGCAGTCCGGGCCCCAGCCCCGCCCCCTCCCCCCACATTATAAACAATGGAACCTCGTGGGAGCCGCCGCCAAGTGAGTCTGTGCGGATCCCCACCTGTGCGCACTGTTGGGCTCTTCATCAGCTCCCACTGAAACACAGACAACAAACAAAAGCAATGCAATCGAGCAACGTGGATCAAAAACGCCAGCAAATTTAAACTTTTGCACCCCCCCCCCTCCCCCCTATTCCCCTTTTATTAAGTGGAACATGGAATATTAATATCAACAATAATCCTTTGCATTTGATACAACAGCTTTCATGTCTCAAAGCGCTTCACTGGATTTAATCGTCTGGTGCAGTGACTGTTGTTGTGGGGTGAACTCAGCAAAAGCCAATTTTGAACAGGGAGCTTCGCCATCAAGTTGGGTATTCACGTCATACAGCAATAACAAATTGGCTGTTTGTGGGACACTGCTGTGCACAAATTGGCTTCTGCGTTCACCTACAAAATACACAGTCACTTCACTTTGCAGTAATTCTGGTGAAGTGCTTTTGAGGTGTCTTGACGATATGACAAGGCGCTTTATCAAATGCAAGGATTATTTTTCTATTTGTATTTGACAATAAAAACATGATCATGGCCAGGTTAATGAATAACACCTGCAAGATATTTCTTTAACTGTTTAACCCTCAAGATATTTCTGTAACTTTGCATTTGGACTTAATTTGTATGTTTCCTCAAAACATCTATTTACAGGATTAAGAATGCGTGATTTTTAAAGGAAGAAACACACCCCAGTGCAACTCTGTGGTAGAAAATAATGGAAAAGTTTGTTATTTTTAAAACATTAATGTGGATTGTATCAGAGTTCACCATACAGTAAGAAGTACTTTATTACCTTGTAAATATTTAATGATTCTTCTTTGTGATTGCATTCAAAATGTTGGCAAAGTGTGAAGAGACCTATAAAATTATTATAAGAATTGCAAACCTCCTTTGTGTAATTGTATAATTTCTCTTAGAAAATACAGCAATTTTCAGCATACAATTGGTACATTTACAACGCTGGGCCGGGCCAATGGTGCCATCTGCTGGAGCTGGAAACTGATATTTCTGGTTATATCTCAGGTTGTGATCTAATAATACAATACTTAATATAATAACATTCCTTGCATTTGACATAGCACCTATTATGTCAGGAAGACATCTCAAAGTGCTTCAAAGAATTTTACTGTGAAATGTAGTGACTGTGTATATTGTAGGCATTGTGAAAGCTACATATTACCTTTGCTTCAGATTTCAACAACATTTATATAGGGCCTATCACGTCGGGATGACATCCCAGGGTGCTGAACAGTCATGGTTATGCACCTGAGCTGACTGGTTTCAAATCAGATTTCATAAGAACATAAGAATTAGGAGCAGGAGTAGGCCATTCGGCCCCTCGAGCCTGCCCTGCCATTCAATAAGATCATGGCTGATCTTCTGACCTAACTCTAAATACCTGCCCTATCCCCATATCCCCTAATCCCTCTATTTTTAAAACATCTATCAGTCTCAGCCTTGAAGATGTTCAAGGACTGAGCATCTACAGCCTTCTGGGGTAGTGAATTCCATATATTCACTACCCTCTGAGTGAAGAATTGTTTCCTCAACTCTGTTCTAAAAGGCTGACCCTTAACTTTAAGACTGTGACCCCTGGTTATAGATTCTCCTACCAGGGGAAACAGACCCTCAGTGTCTACTTTATCAGCCCTTTAAGAATCATATATGTTTCAATAAGATCTCCCCTAATTCTTCTGTACTCTAGAGAATACAGCCCTAGTTTATTCAGCCTCTCCTTATAGGTCAGTCCCCTCATTCCAGGAACTAACCGAGTGAATCTACGCTGCACCCCCTCTAGGGCAAGTATATCCTTTTTTAAATAAGGAGACCAAAACTGCACACAGTACTCTAGGTGCGGTTTCACCAAGGCCCTATGCAGAAGCAGCAAGATTTCCCTACTCTTGTCCTCTAAACCTTTTGCAATGAACGCTAACATGCCGTTCGCCTTCTTAGTTGCTTGCTGCACCTGCAAACTAACTTTTTGAGACTGGTGTACAAGGACACCCAAATCCCTCTGAACACTAACACTATCTAATCTCTCCCCCTCTAGAAAATAATCTGCTTTTCAATTTTTGCTACCTAGGTGAATAACTTCACACTTCCCCACATTAAATTCCATCTGCCACCTACTTGCCCACTCCCCGAGCCTATCTATATCCTGTTGCAATCTTTTTGCATCATCCTCAGAGCTTACTCTCCCACCTAGTTTAGTGTCATCCGCGAATTTAGATACGTTACATTCAATGTCCTCGTCTAGATCATTGATGTAAATTGTAAATAGCTGAGGCCCAAGCACTGATCCTTGTGGCACTCCACTAGTCACATCCTGCCAATTCGAGAATGACCCGTTTATCCCTACTCTCTGTTTTCTACCCGTTAGCCACTCTTCAATCCATGCTAATATGTTCCCATTAATCCCGTGGGCCTTAACCTTGTGCAATAGCCTTTTGTGTGGCACTTTGTCAAATGCCTTCTTAAAATCTAAATATACTACATCTACTGGTTCCCCCCTATCTAACCTGCTAGATACATCTTCAAAAAACTCTAAAAGATTAGTTAAGCATGACTTCCCTTTTGTAAAGCCATGTTGACTCTGCCTAATCTTGTTATGGTCTTCCAGGAATCCCATAACGACATCTTTAATTAAGGACTCAAGAATTTTCCCTACCACTGATGTCAGACTAACTGGTCTATAGTTCCCCATCTTTTCTCTCCCACCCTTCTTAAATAGTGGTGTTACGTTTGCAATCTTCCAATCAATGGGAACCGTTCCAGAATCCAGAGAATTTTGGAAGATCAAAGACAAGCCATCCACTATCTCAGTAGCCATCTCTTTTAAAACCCTAGGATGTAGGCCATCAGGTCCAGGGGATTTATCAGTTTTAACAATTTACCTAAAACCATTTCTTTACTAATGTTAATTTCCCCAAGTTGCTCGCTAACATTGTCTTCTTGGTTCCCCTCTATTCTTGGTAGGTTTTCAGTGTCTTCTAAGGTGAAGACAGTAGCAAAGTATTTGTTTAATGACTCTGCCATGTCTTTGTCCCCTACTGTAATTCCCCCCCGTCTCTGCCTGTAATGGACCCACATTTACCTTTGACAATCTCTTCCTCTTTACATATTTATAAAAACTCTTGCAGTCTGTCCTTATGTTCCTTGCTAGTTTGCCCTCATATTCCATTTTCTCCCTCTTAATTACTTTTTTGGTTCTCCTTTGTTGATCCCTAAAGTTCTCCCAATCCTCGGATTTACTACTCATCTTAGCTGTTTTATAGGCTTCTTCCTTTAACTTCATACTTTCCCTAACTGCTCTAGTTAGCCACGGTTGGGCCACCTTTCCCGTGGCATTCTTATCCCTCAAAGGAATACGTGCTCGCTGGGAATTTTAAACGTCTGCCATTGCTGCCATTTCACTTTCATTTACACTGTATTCTTGCAATTTATTTTCAACATTTGGACTATTATGACATCCACTGGAAACAGGAAATGTGATAATATTAAGATAACACTAAAATTAGTAACCAAATGTTCTTCCTCTTCTGGTTATCACACCCCCTTACTTTAAATGAGAACTTGTAATTTTGTTGTGATAAATTATTGGAAAAAAAATTATGAAATAAATCATCAGCATAGAGTGTCAGGAGGACATCTCAAAGAGCTACACAGGATATATTCTAAAGTGTACAGACTGTGTATTTTATAGGCAAATTCAAGAATGTGCCCCAGGGCTCCACCTCGGCCCTCTCTTCTTCCTCATCTATATGCTCCCTCTTGGCGATGTCATCCATACACTTCCACATGTAAACCACATGTTTACCATGTGGTAAACTTCCACATGTATGTGAATGACACACAAATCTATTTCTCCTCCTCCAGCTGCGATTTCAGGTCCACCAATGTTCTCTCTGGTTGTCTGGCGGACATAAGGACCTGATTGAGAGAAACCTACAATTAAATGTTGACAAGATGGAAGCCATACTCATTGGCTCCCATCAACATCTTCTATCCTCTGGCCTCCTCAACCTCCCAGGCCTATCCCTCAATCTCACCAAACCGGTGTGCATCCTAGGTGACAGGTTCGACCCACAGCTGTTCTTCCTTCCCTACAACTGGGACCCTGACCAGGACCGCCTTCTTCCACTTCCACCACATTGTCCACCTCCGACTGTACCTTAACCCAAATGCA